ATGAATAGTTCTTTGTAATTTTTTCAATTCTGCTGTTTTGAGTTTTGAGTCTTTCATGAATTGAATTCTCTTGTTGGGGCAAATGAATGAAATTGAAAGAGAGAATAAAAACGATCAAATTTTTTTGAAATTTTAATGCAAACCGACACTTCACGTACACACACACATAATTCTCTGTTTCTCTTTCTCTCTTTTTTCTCTCTAGCTCTCATTTATGATTACAATAACAGATTAACAAATATTAACACATACATACAACCATCCATCCATCCATACATGCATACATACATACATCTATCCATACATACATACATCCATCCATCCATACATGCATACATACATACATACATACATACATCCATCCATCCATACATACATACATACATACGTAGACAAGAACGAAATGTTTTCTAGTCAGTACATAGTACAAGCACGCACGTACTGACAAATGAATGAAAGTTTATCCACTGAGATAAAAAATAAATAAAAAAATTTCGGAAGTATATACACAGACGCAAACGCACTTATACGTTTATAATAAAAACTAAATGACAAATACACACACACACACATACACTACACACATACTTACACACACACATACCACATATATAAACACACTTACACACGCACACATTTATAAACACACGCATACGGATACGTAGATACACGTACCAGCAAGGCCACAGACATATATTGCAGGTGTATTGAATTTTTTAGCAAGGCATAATTCATGCATACTTTTTTCATTGTCTGCCCGTTGCTTCGTCATGCTTCTTTCCTATTCTACTAAATGCCTGCGTATTAAAATTTTAAACTGAAAACATTTTTTAAACAATGAAAGTAAAAGTAAAAATGAAAAATTTTATAAGAAATTTTGCAAAAATCAAGTGAAATAAAACTAGGTAAAGAATGAATGGTCTTTTGTTGTTGTTGTTGCTGCTGTTGTTGCTGTTGTTGTTAATGTTTTTGTTGTTGTCGTTGTTGCAATTGATGTGCGCAGACCAATTCTTGGATGTTAATGTTGTTGATGACGTTAACGCAGCCAACATTATTTATCATTAATAAATTACATGTTAATTACGTAGTCACTCTTGACACTTCTCTGGTCGGTGAGATAGATATCTAGACATGTATCATTAATACGTGTATCTAATGCGTCTAATGATACAATTATAATATTGTATCTAATGATAGTGACAATAGGTATCAAAAATTTATAAAAATGTTGATATTCTATGGTTGGGTTTTAGTTTTAGGAAATTTTTTTGAAAGCCATGGTAGAAAAGATACTACAATACATTTTTATACAATAGATCCAACGCGCGGTGTTCGTTATGAATGACCTCACGTGCACATGCAAGCACAAATAGTCAAATTACTAAGAATGTTTTAAATAATTTAAATTGTCGTTGTCATCGTTGTTGTTTTGTTGTTGTTTTGTTGTTGTTGTTGTTGTTGTGAATTTTAATTATTTTCACAAATAAGCATAGGTTTGTATGTATCTTATACGATACTATGTTCAAGAATGAAGTTAAGTTTTTTTTAACAAATGTATTAATCAATTTAGAATATAAAATTCGTGATATAATTTTAAAAAGCCATTTTCTATTTTAATTGAAAACTTAAAGGAAATCAATAATAATAATGATGATAAATTTAGGTTTGGAGGTATAAATAAATTTAAGTTGTGTAGTTGTAGATACATATGTGTTACAACCTAAATTTTTATTAGCGTTATTCCATTTTAAAATTTAAGTTTTGTTATTATATTAAACAATAAAACATTATTAACAATAATGAGCGAGTCGTTCCTCGTTCGATTTCGATTATTAAACTTTATAGCATTTTAAACAGCAACTAATACTCAACACACGTAAGTCGCCAATTAAAGTCGTCTCTCATTTTATCAGCGAGTTTACAGAATCAGAAAGAATTTCCCCAAGTAGAGACAACGTTGTTCGCCCAGTAACCGTCGTAGGATGGTGAAGAGCGAGCAGCATAGCAATATGCCTCAAACACAGACCTGTATTTAATATGCATTGAAATATTATCTAAATCAGTTTATCAGCGTGTAACAACTGAAGACCGTTACAAAATTGGAGGAATATTCGTTATATATTTTCTGCAACAGTCCCAAGCCTGAAACATTTGCTCGGTAGACGAAGAAATATAAGTTTGAATGAACAAAATCTCATCGGACCGACTTCTATATGTTCCCATTTACACATTTGCAACCATTGGCAAAAACATTCACGTATTTGAGTACAGTGTTTATACATTCTGCATTCAATAAACATGTGCGTGCAATACACACGTGTGTCTTCAATACACATGTGTACAGTTGTATACAATACACACATGAATGTATACAATACTCGCATTTTCAATACCGACAAGTATGTTTGTATTAAAAAGTCACGCCCTCACAAATGTCCATCTGTTTACATTTAAGCATGCAAATGAACGCGTGTACAACTGCATGGAGACATTAGACTCACACATAAACGTGCACTCATTAGTTTCTAAAGCGTACAATAAGCGTATAGATTAAAATACGAACGCCATACCCCTCCATGAATGCATACAAAGGGCTTGCGTTTCGGTAAATACAAACACAGACGCAAGAACACACACAGGCAAACAGAAAAGCATACAAATAGACAGACACACATATATACAGACAGAGACAGCAGACAAACAGACTGTACAGACAGACAGACACACATATATACAGACAGAGACAGCAGACAAATAGACTGTACAGACAGACAGACCAGACAGACACACATACAGACATGCAGACACACATAGAGTTAGACATGCAGACACCCATAGAGTTAGACATGCAGGCGCACACTGCAGACAGACACAGACAGACACACATACAGACAGAAAGAGATAACAGACAGACAGACAAAAGAAAGCAGAGAATTTTGTATGTTACAATTTGTTCACGTTTGCCTGGCTGACTGTAGCATGCTAATTACAGTGTCATCATGAACATAATGCCTTGGGTTTAAAATTATTGTCGTTTTTGTTGCTGTTGTTACAGCTGCTGTTGTTGTTTTTGTTGTTGATGTTGTTGTAGCTGTTGTTGTTATTAATGTAGTTGTTGTTATTGTTGTTGTTGTTAGCGTTGATGTTGTTGTTGTTGATGATGATATTGTTGTTGCTGTAATTAGCTTGATGTCGTTGTTGTTGGCTTATGATGTTGTTGTTGTTGGTATGTTGCGAATGTTGTTGTTGAAGAAAGATGCGTTTAACTCTACAATTTAAAAATTTGATAAAAGATTATAAGTCATTCTGATATTAAATTAAGCCCTGAAAGAAAAATAAATAACTTTTTTTAATAAAATTCAGAAAAAAATATTAGCTATTACTGAAAATAAATTTTTATTCATTAATTTCACGTAAAAAACCACACAAAACCCAAATCTTTTGATACAATACAACTGACTAAACACATACAAACAAAAGAAAAACATACAAAAATAAAAACATACAAAAAAACATAAATAAGAAACATACAAAAAAAAATTAACAAAATGCAAAAAGTGAAAAAACGTTATCATAACGTACTGACCATTTGAAATAAACTAATCCATCTTTAGTATTTCAATGGCGGTTATCAAGGAAAAACATACAAAACATCGAACGCTCATTCGTTAGAACGCTTATGTGTCTGCCAGATTATACTCATTCTCTCTCTCTCTCTCTCTCTTTCTCTCTCTTTCTCTATATATCTATCTCTCTCTCTCTCTCTTTCTTTTTCCCTCTTTATCTTTCTCTCTCTTTCTCTGTGTGTTTCTGTGATTGTGTGTTTCTCTTCTTGTATGTCTCTTTCTATCTCGTTTTATTGTCTTTCTTTCCTTCTCTCTTCCCTTCTGCTTCCTTTTTTCCTTATCTTTTTGTATTTCTCTTTTTTTCTCTTTCTCTTTCTTTCTCTCTCCTTTTGATGCTATTTACTTGTTTAGATTATTCATAATTTTGCATAAACACAGAGTGATATGAAACACCTTGTGGATGTATTATTCTACCGGATGATACAAAATGATACAGGATGATACAGAATGATACAAAAATGATACCGGATGATACAGGATGATACAGAATGATACAGAATGATACAGGATGATACAGAATGATACAAGGTGATACAGAATGTTACAGAATGATACAGAATGATACAGAATGATACAGAATGATACAGAATGATACAGAATGATGCAGAATGATACAGAATGATGCAGAATGATACAGAATGATACAGGATGATACAGAATAATAGGAAATGACAACGAGTATATTTATCCTAGCCTAAATTGGAATGAAGAGTATCATGTTTTTTTCTTTTTGCAAACCTAATAATATACTTATAAATCAGTTATACATACTCGCATACATAATTCTATTTTGCACTTGAAAATGCACATACATGTGGGTTTGTTTGTTTGTGGGTGTGTGTGTTTGTTTGTTTGTGATTGTGTATATGTGCGAAAATAGCCGGTGCGCGTGTGTGTGTTTGTTTGTGTGTGTGCATTTTTATTTGTCTACATTATGTAATTTTATTGATTTGTGTGCATCTGTGTGTATGTGACGAGTAGTCTTGCTTAGTGAATACTTGTGTGTTTATCAGCAAGCTTGTGTATATGTTAATGTATGTATGTCTATGTATCTAGATATAATAGATGTACGTACGTGTATGTATGTTTGTTTGAATGTATGTATGTGCGTGTAAATATCTGTGCTTGTCTATATGATGGATAGCATATAATAAGCTAAGCATCATTACAAATTGGAGAACATATATTTTATATGAATGAATGAATGAATAAAGGAATAAATGAATGAATGACTGATTGAATGAATGACTGAATGATTGAATGAATGCTTGTGCGTATGTAATACGTTTATTTGTATGTGTGTTTTTATTTTGTATGTGTGTGTAATTGTATGGAAGTATATTTATGTATGTATGTATGTATGTATGTATGCACGTAGGTATGTATGTATGTATGTATGTATGTATGTATGTATGTATGTATGTATGTATGTATGTGTGTATGGATGGATGTATGTATGTATATGTATGTATGTATGTATGTATGTATGTGTGTGTGTGTGTATGTATGCATGTATGCATGTATGTATGTATGTGTGTGTGTCCTATGTATGTTTGTGAACGTTAAAATGTTTCTAATGAGATTAAGCGCTCCTTCCTTTAATGTAGATTAATATCTTTGGAAGAAAAGAAAAATTTCTTCCCTAGATTTCAATGGCATCGTCATCATCATCAGTCTCTTCTTCTTCATCACCATCATCATCATCATCAGTGTACATCACTAATAATTACATCCCCACCCCCATCATCATCATCGCGTCGTCGTCGTCATCATCATCACAATCTTCATCATTCGTCACTATTATAACCGATAAACAATGGTATTTATCATTTGTTCTCATTAATTTAAAAAGAAAACATTTTCAAACCTGTCATCGTCATCATTATCATTACCATCACATCATTATGTTTATGATTAGCATCATTATCATCATTATCTTAATAGTCATCTTCATCATCATCATCACCATTTTTTATTAGAATGGTCATCGTGGTCTCCGTTTTACTAATGACAGTTTCATATTTGTCATAAATTTTCATTAAAGTTCCTATTTCTCGCTTTTCAGAAAGTTTCAACATCACCAACTTCATCATCGTCATTCTCCTCGACATCATCATCATCACCACCATCATCATCACATCATCATCATCATAAATTACACTATCATCATCATCATCGTTATCATCTTCTTCCTTTTCCTTATCATCACCATCATCATCATTGTCGTCGTCATCTTCTTCATCATTAAAATATCCAACACGTTCTTTAAGGCAACCGATGTTCACACTTTTGTTGTTGGTGTTGTTGTTGTTAATGTTGTTGATGTTGCTTTGTTAATGTTGTTGGTGTTGTTGATGTTGTTGTTGATGATGTTCTGTTGATGTTGTTGATGTTAATACTATTCATTTTTATTTTAAATTTTATCTTACTCAAATCTCAACACACTCACACACGCACATACACGCCCACACACACATGTACACACACACATTCACACACAAACATGCACACACACACACTCACACACAAACTTGCACACACACACACTCACACACAAACATGCACACACACACACACTCACACACACGCACAATAATAAGTAACATTTATAAAAATTATTAACTAGTCGAGACGTACCATAAAACAACTATATCGTCTGATGATATTCCCGCTCTTTCTATCGTAATGGAAACAAAATCACTACAGACCTATGGATAGCTAAATATTGTATCTTCATTATTGTCTATCATGATATTGTTGTTATGTATGTTGTTGCTGTTGTAGTTATTATTGCTATTATTATTGATATTATATTGTTATTCTTATTGTTCCGACACGTGCCAAGAATTTGTTGATGCAGAGGATGACTTTATGAATTAATCAGGTCCTAAGATTGCTCATGCATAGCTGTCTTCTTCTTGTTTATGCCGTTGTTGTTTGTATTGTTTGTTTGTGTGTTTGTTTGTGTTGTTTGTTTGTGACTATGTGTTGTTTGTATGTGTGTGTGAGTGTTGTTGTTGTTTTTTTGTTTGTGTGGTGCGTGTTTGTTTGTTTGTGTGTGTTTGTTGTTGTTTGTGTGTTTGTTTGTGTTGTTTGTTTGTGACTGTGTGTTGTTTGAATGTGTGTGTGAGTGTTGCTGTTTTTTTGTTTGTGTGGGTGCGTGTTTGTTTGTTTGTGTGTGTTTGTGTGTGTTTGTTGTTGTTTGTATGTTTGTGGCTGTGTGCTGTTGTTGTTTGTTTGTGTGTGTTTGTTAGTGTATTGTTGTTTGTGTCTGTGTGCTGTTGTTGTTTGTGTGTGTGTGTGTGTGTGTCGGTTGTGTTGTTGTTTGTTTTTTATTTTCTATAATTATCATCAATCACTTATAAATTTTATACATCATTTAGAAGCATATTTTAATTCAATCAGAAAATCTGGAGAAGCCTAAATTACTGAGAATTATTTAAAAAAAAATTTGTTAATAACGATTTGGAAAAAAAAATATTTTAACGTTTTAAGAAAAATTTTTCAAGATGGATAATCATTTGGTTGTCAACGGTTAATTCTGTTTGATTTCCGCATCCATTTGACCGCGGGCTGCCTTTTAAAATAATTTTCCAAAAAAAAATTATTATAATTTTCAATTTTTTGAATTATTATTTATAATTTCGCATAATAACGTCGATTCTTCCACCCACCCATCTACATATTCATTCATCCATTTATTCATCTATTTATCCATCCATTCTTCCATCCAATCATCCATCCATCTATTTACCCATTCATCCATCCATCCATACATCTATCTATCCATCCATTTATTATTCATTCATTCATCCATACGTCCTTCCACCATCTATCCATCCTTCTATCTATTTTTCCATTCATCCATACATATGTCTTTCCATCTAATTATTCAACTATATATATATATATATATATATATATATATATATATGTACATTACATACATTATATTAACAATAAATTAGTTAATATAGTAATATTTTTAAAGCAGTTTTTTTTTATATACAGTCATTTCAAAAAAATTTTCATTTTATGATTTTTTGGTTCATTGAACTTCCGTGTCGAGATTCGTTTGAATGTCGATCCATTTAATTTTTCTATCCGTAGACTTTTGGTCATCTATGTATCCATCTATGTATTCATTGGTTCGTTCGTTCGTTCGTTCGTTCATTCATTCATTCATTCATTCATTTATTCATCATCAAGTCATTTGATTATCAATTCATTCATTTGTCAATCCTTCAATCAATATATCAATTAATCTATCTATCCTTTGATCCAATCTAAAAACTATCCAATCATCCACCTATCTATTCATTCATTCATCTGCAAACCTATCCATCCATCCCTCTACTTAGCCATCCATCCATCCATCATTCGGTCGGTCCATCCACTCGCTAATCCATCCATCCATCCATCACTTGCCTGAATTAGTGATCCCATCAGGTCCCAACACAACTCCCCATCAAACAATCAACCGACTAATTCATGTAAACATTCTCATTAATGCACCACTTCCTTCGTCACATCCAAACTAACTCACACACGTACACACACACGCACATACATACACACATGTGTGTGTGTATGTATGTGTGTTTATATATACACACCTACTAACTTAAACAGATAGAAAGGACGTTTGTATGTGAGTTAGCCTGCGTATGTTTGCCTGAATTTATTTTAAAGAATGTTTTAAGCCTTTTAGCAATGTATACATCAATACGTTTTTAAACGTATACAAACATATAACTTATACAGATCTTTGTATCAGCAACAAGACAAAACGCATCTCTCATAACTTATTCATTCGAAATAATTAATATGCCCGTTATATTACACAGAATAGTTTTTAACCTTTTTATACGGCGAGGGTAGGAGGAAGAATCGTTTAATTGTGAGTACCTAGTGATGCGTGTGTGTGTCCATTATAAAACTTTCCCATTTATAAATGTTACACTTATCTTTTTTGACAAGTACTCCGCCGTACACGCGCACACACACACTCATTCACTCACACACACACACCACACACACCACACACACACACACAAGAACACACACACGCGCGCGCACACACATATACACACACAAGCACACATAAATACACACAAACACACACATATATACATAAATATACTCGTACAAGCACGTATTTGTGTGTGATACATCTATTGTATTTATATGCATTGTATATATCTATTGTATTCATTTGTATTGTATTTCAAATAACAAATTGTACTGTATGTCTATATTTTAATTGCTAGTGTTAAACAACTTTTTTGGTTTTGAACGTAATGAACACGTGAAGAAATTCAAAATTGTTCATAGCCAGATCTTTTCATAAAATTTATTACAACTAATTCACTTGTGCAGCCTTAGCATTTGAAAATCTAACGAATAATTACCCAAACATACCTGAATCACACAAGTATGGAAAAAACACACAAACACACAAACACACACAATGCCTTTTTTATTTATAGTAAATAGATGTCGCAATGATTATTTCACGCACATCTTTCCGACGTCATTTCAACTTATTATGCATGCCACCGGGGCGTTGTTTTTTTGTTTACGTCAATTTTTATATTTGTTTTGTTTGTTTTGTTTGTTTTTGTTTGTTTGTTTTTCTCGCTCCAACGAGAGGTGTGTATGAGGAATTGTTTTTCTAATTTGAGTTGCTCTAGCAGCCGCATGTTCTAATCATTTTCGTTATTACGTTTGACGTCATTCTCTCTCTCTCTCTCTGCATCTACTTGCGTCATAGTCGTTTGTATCATCGTAGTTTGTATCATCGTCGTTTGTATCATCGTCGTTTGTATCGTCGTCATTTTATATCATCGAGTTTGTATCTTTATCATTTGTATCTTTGTCATTCGTATGTATCATCCATCATTAGAAACATGACTATCGTTTATTTTTTCATTATTTGAGTATTACATTTCCACGTCGTTTTGCGTGTCTTTTGAATGTCTTTTGCGTTAAGACATTCCACTTGCAGCTTTGTTGTCATCCTGTAGTCACTCTTCGTTAATATATATATCTGCAATTTTTTTTCTTTACAACTTCGTTGTGTGAAATTGATGTTTAAAACTAATTATCACATTGTTATGTGTTTAGTTTTGTTTTATCTATTTTTCTAAAAAAAATGTTTTTCAAACATTTTTCATACAGGGCGAGTTAGTATTAGAATTGAAATATTCCATTTTTTGGCGCCGTGTTATTATTTTTAAAGTCGGGCAGACGACATCTCTGGTAGTAGTTTTCTTGTATTCATCTATTATTCGAATGTTTTTTTTCTCAATTTTTTTTCAATTTCATTTCATTTTTCAATGTTTTAATGTTATTGTTTTTGTTGTAATTGTTATCGTTGTTGGTGTTGTTTCTTTATTGTTGTTGTTGTTGTTGTTATTGTTGTTGGTGTTGTTGGTTTTTTGTTATTGATGGTGTTATTATTGTTGTTGGTGTTGTTTTTTTTTATTGTTATTGATGTTGTTGTTATTGTTATTGTTGTTCGTGTTGTTTCTTCATTGTTATTGATGTTGTTGTTATTGTTGTTGGTGTTGTTTCTTTATTGTTGTTGATGTTGTTGTTGGTGTTGTTTCTTTATTGTTGTTGATGTTGTTGTTGGTGATGTTTCTTTATTGTTGTTGATGTTGTTGTTGGTGTTGTTTCTTTATTGTTGTTGATGTTGTTGTTGGTGTTGTTTCTTTATTGTTGTTGATGTTGCGCAGTTAGGCACCGGCGCATTAATTCGTTGCAGTCCAGCGCACACGAAATATCATTTGGATGCATTTCATGCTGCAACACCCATCTTCATCATCTTACTCATCGTCGTCATCGTTCTCTTCTTCATCGTCATCATCTTCTTCTTTATCGCCATCATCATCTTCATCTTCCTCTTCGTCATCAACGTCTTTTTCATCGTCATCATCATTTTTTTCACCATCATACCCTTCTTCTTCTTCGTCATCGTCGTCGTCGTCTTCATCATCTCCACTTGCATTATCTTAAGCCCCCTCACTGTCATTATTAACTCTATTTTTTCAACAGCATCATCAATTATTTCCATCATCATTTCATCATCCTCCTCCTCATCATCATCATTTCTGTCATGTTGTTCACCATCGTCTCGTTGTCACACCCCATGATGATTTCATTAATTTAACAATACTTCAGTTGCTAGCAGTATAATTTTACTGTTGATAATGATGAAAATGATAATGATGATAACAATTATGATGGTAATGATAGATAGATAGATAGATCGATTGAAAAACTAATGTTGATTGAAAGATAAAAGAGAGAACGAAAGAAAGAGAGAGAGAGAGAGAGAAAGACAGAAAGAGAGAGAGAGAGAGAGGGGTTGATGCGGACAATAAATAGAGAACTATATATTAAAAATTATTGGTGTGTGGAAGATGGTGGAGATTATGGTGATGGAAAGTGTGACGAGGGTGATGAAGACGATGAGGATGATGATTTTGTTGTTGTTGATGATAATGGTGGTGATATTGATGATGGTGACGATGGTGATGAGGACGATGATGATGGCGATATTTTTGTTGTTGTTGTTGTTGTTGTTGATGATGATAATGATGATGATGGTGGTGATAATGATGATGATGATGGTAATGATGATGATGATGCAAATGCATCAATTGATAATAAAGCAACATAATCATTCAAATGAATTTATTTTAACCAGCAATGCCAACATTTTAAATTCTAAATAAAACTTTTCCACATAGCTAACAATAACCAACATAACTATAACCACCAACAACAGCCTTAACAACGACAACAACAACAACAACATCAACAGTAGCAGCTGCTGCAGTAGCTGCAACAAATGATGTAAGAAGAAGAGAACACTCATAAAAGTAATCTCCTCGCATTAGCCTTCTATTAATTCAATGAATTACTGCTAACCATAAACGCTCATTTTTATCTCTGTCTCTCTATGTCTCTCTCTCTCTCTTTCTCTCTGTTTTATATTCTTTTTCTCTCTTCCATTTGTTTTCTCTTTCTCTCTCTCTCTTTCTTATTCTTTTTTTTTATTTTGCTTCTATTTTCAAGTTTACGTTTCTCTTGCGTTCACTTTTTTTCGTTTTTGTCTCAAAATTTGAAGGCATTTAATATCTCTTCTTTTTGTTTGTTTTGTTTCATTTTGCTGTTTTTATTTTCCGTTTGTGTGATCATTTTTTTATTTTTCTCTGTTTTTGATAGAAAGCTGTATATATTTATAATGCGTGCAATCTAAAAAAGCCTAATAGATTTGTTTTGCATAATTAGAGCAAAAAAATAACCAGACAGTTTTGTTCAGATTTCAATATGTTGTATGCTTTTAATTTAGTTCTTGCACATATGCATTGTTTTTATCAAGCTAAAAATAGCTATGTTTTGTTTGGTTTAAAATTGTTTATTATACACACTTGACAAAGTAATCCATCTTTGTATATGTATCTCTTGTATGTTTATTTTTATAGCTAAACCGACAAATGGCAGAGTTTAAGTTGAGATTATTAAATTTAGGAATATCTTCATCAAATGGCATGTCATTCAGTTATTGTTCTTGGTACATTTACAATTTTTTTTTTTGTTTCCACGAGCTCATGTAGTTTTCAGTGTGATGCATTTATTATCAATTTGTTTCCATACTTCTATGTAGGTTTAAATGTATTCATCTCTGGTAGTTTCGTTTTCTCTCTTTCTCTCTTCCACCACACCTTTATTCATTTTCCCAATTACCCATCTTTTTTCTTTTCTCGCTTCGTTGCCCTTTACTTAGTGATAGAGAGGGAGGGTGGCTGTTTGTAATATTCGAACGTTTGTCTGCTCCATGTGCGTGTGTGTGCGTGCGTGTGCGTGTTTGTATGTCTGTGTTTCTGCTTTCTGTCTGTGTGTGTGCGTGTGTCTGTGTGTGCGCGTGTGTCTGTGTTTCTGCTCTCTGTCTGTGTGTGCGTGTGTGTGCGTGTGTGCGCGCGTGTGTCTGCTGTTTATGTACGTTTTTCATTACCGAATGTGTCGTATTTAGAATAGCGTAAACAGAATTGCGTAACGTTTTAATGTGTTTTTAATTTTCAACAGAACTCTGTCCATTTAGACTCTTACGTTATTACTAACAAACGCCACAACAAACAGCAGAATTAACATCTAAAAATTAATTTTCAAATTTTGCAGACTGAAACTAACAAAATAAAATTTTTTTCAGATGAAGAATATACAAAGAAATAATAAAAAACTCAAGAAAAACTCTTTTAAAACATACAAAAAAACGATTTAATGATTTGTAGAGGAGAAAGTAACTACCAAAAGACACGCCACATAACAAGCAGTCTTCCACAGGCGAGCAATTAAATGCAAACACACTCGCCATCTTTGCAAAAAAAATTTTCGTTTTGTTTTCTTTGTTTCTGTTTTTGTTTTATGACCAACTGGAATGTTTTGTTTTTCTAATGTTTTGCTGTTTTTTATTTGGTGTGTAATGATGTATGTTTAGGGGGTTTTTATGTCGTTTCCTTATCTGCTGAAAATTTATTTCATATGGTTTTTTGATATTTGTTGATGTCTGAGTCTTTATTAATTGATTTTTGTTGGCTTATTTCTAATTTATTTTCACAACAATTTGTGTTTTATTTTTATTATTTGGATTGTCTGCATGCCTTCACTTTAATCCTTCATCGTTTTGCAGTTTTAGGATGAATAGTTGGTTATGGTCGCATCAAACTTTTCAAAATTTATTTTTCTTGATGGCTAGTTTATGCAACTTTGGTGTTATTTAAAAAATTTTTTTTTATCACACCCACACAGACACACACACGCACACACACTCACAAAAACACAAACACACATTCACATTTACAAATACACACATTTACACACACACACACCCTAAATATACACATACACACACTCACACACAAACAAACAGTCAAAAACAATTGTTTCTGTGAAATAACTCAAGCAGCAATTTTATTCTCTTGTGAAAAATTTTTTCCCAAAATTCCTACTCAAATTTTTTAACTACTTTGAAAATAAAAAAAAAGTTAAAAAAAAACTTGTTAATGCGTTTGCATCAACTGCATCTAATGCATTCAGAGAAAGGAGATGATGTTTAACTTTAATTTGCAGGTTGTCATCACTTAAGTGCATAATCACACAGGCGTTTTGCTCTGCATTATTTCGCCATGAAATATTTAAAACATTTTAGAATTAAGGACATTGTAATTTGTTTTTTTGCGTGTAAACAAGTTTTGCAGGTTTTGCTGAAAATTATACAAAATATATACAAAATATATAAAGAACTTTTTCTGCACATGATTTTTTTTTGGATGTTTTATTTATTTTCACGCTTCAATTAGATGTTGAGATAGGTTTGTCGGTTCATTTGTTATTCTATTCGTTCGTTTGTTCGTTCGTTTGCTTCCTCGTTCGTTTGTTTGTTTGTTCACTAGTCATTCATTTGTATTTCCTTATTATATTGTTTTTAGTTCAAAAATTAACAAGGTGTAAAAATGCGTTTGATGTTAGTCGCCGGTCAATACATGAGAATAAATGTAGATCCCGTAACAACGAATAATTTCATTATTCAAGAATAATAACCCTATCACACACTTACATATATTTCACATATCACCGATCTTAAATTATTACGAATAGAGCAACTCAGTCTCAAATATTAGCTTCAGAATATATTTTCTCATTATACAACCCAACAAGAATCATTGGATGTAGAATTTTAAAGATCATCTTATATATATTACATATCCACCAGGCAATTAAACGCGGATAAGTGCTTATGCGTACGTAAGCATGTATGGATCCATGTATTCGTACGGATGTATGTTTACGTTGTGTGTATTTGCCTATGTGAGTATCTGTATGCGTGCATGTATGTAAGTGTGTGGCGTGTGCTTGTGTGTGTGAGTGCATCAATCTATAAGAGATGGTTGACAGCCTGTAATTTACTCGCTGAACACAAATAAATGAGTTTCTCTACTAATGCATACACATTATGCACATATACATTTGTATGTATATATATATATACACACATTTGTATATATATATATATATACATACAGTTAAACATATACATTTGGGTATACAAAACCCATTTGTATGTTTGGTATTTGTATTTTCATGGTAAAATGTGCGGTATTTGGTACAATATATGTTAATGTTATGTAAACATTTGGCAAATTACATTGGCTTATAATGGTACGTTATATGAATATTGAAATCATTTTAAACGACTTATACTTAATAATACTATACTTAATGAAGTTTCATCGTAAATGTAAATAAAACAAATAAGAAATAATATTCCAAACTGAACATATGTCATCTGGCGGCTGTTTCGAGAATAACTGAAGATTATTCAATAGTGGTGGGGAGTTATCTTTTTTTGTGGCACACAGAACAACATTTGATGAATCTTTTGTGTTCAGGTGTCTCCAGAGAAGTGCCTTACTCAATCCAGTGTACTTAACTCAACTTATCAGTACCCTACTCTACTTCATTCAGAGTCAGTCAGCTCTTCTATGTATAGATATAAGATATATATAGATATAAGATATATATAGATATATATCTACCTAAAAAGTTTGTAATATTTAATATGTTTCTGTGTTTGTTTATACTAGTAAATATATTAATTTTTATTTCTAGTAAATATAAAGTTTCAAGTAAAAATTTAAAAAAACAGAATAAAACCACAAACATGCAAATGTTTGATATTATATATAAAGGATCATACTGAACGTTTAAGTTTACACTCAACCAATCAATGAACCAGTCAACCAATCAATCAACCAGCTAACCAATCAATCAACCAGTCAACCAATCAATCAACCAGCTAACCAATCAATCAACCAGTCAACCATTCAATCAACCAGCTAACCAATCAATCAACCAGTCAACCAATCAATCAACCAGCCAACCAGCCGACCAATCAATCAACCAATCAATTAGACCTCAAAATAATTCCTTGCACATGATCAAAAGGCCGCAACTTTTATGTTGAATTTTAAAAAATTTTAACATTTAAATCAACAAATATGTCATGGAATAAAATACAATCACACTCGAACAGACGTACATGTATACAAACAAACATACAAACAAACAAACAAACAAACAAACAAACATACAAATATACATACAAACAAGTAGACATACAAAAAAAACACACGCATACATACATACATACATACATACAGAAAAAGTAACACAAAAACATCCAAGCAATCCCACAGTAGAACAATACACCGTAGATACAAACATTTTTACAAACTAAAGACTATAACAAATGAACGTACGAACAAGCAAACACACAAACAGTCATACAAACAAGCATACATACAAATGAAAAAAATTGTATGTAGAAACAAAACGATATACATGAAGGAAAGCGAAGGTGCAGACATTTTTGCAATGTTGCATTGGCGAAGTAAATTTCTTTAATGGTTTGGCGTGAGATCAAACATTGAGCCATTAACAATCTTTGATTGCAATGCTGATGACGATGACGATGACGTAGACAGATTATGACGGTGATGATGATGGTGATGAAGATGATGGCGTAAATACATGATGATGGTGATGATGGCGTAAATTGATGCTGTTGGTTACGTAGATAGATGATGAAAATGATCATGATGATGTTGAGGATGATGGCGATGATGATAACGATGACCACACACATATATGGTCTTTGAAGACAGTCTGACAGATAAGTATTAATGCTTATAATTTTGTTTTGTTTAATAGGAAAGCGAGCACAGACACACGTGTACCATGAAATCAAAATTAAATCACATAACATTTATGCGTATACACACACACACACGCACACACACACGCACGCACGCACACGCACTTACACACACACACAAAATATAAAAAGAAAGAGAGAGCATAAGATTAGGAGGCAGTAAGACTCTTTTCCTCTGCCTCTCCCCGCGGCGAATTAATTGTTCAAACAGTCTAATCTAATGACGTCAGTGTTTCAAGTGGCCCACGTGACACACCTGAGTGCTTGCGTCATCAAAAAGTGTTGGTCCGTATGAAATTGCGTTAGAGCAAATGCAATGTAATGTTGTTCGATGCAGGTTTGGGATTTTAACTCTAGAAGCATCCAGAAATGTAAGTGCGTGAGTGCATGAGTGTGTGTGTGTGTGTTCATTTCTGTGTGTGCGCGTGTGTGTTTATTCATCTGCGTGTGTCTGTGTGTTTGTGTGTGTGTGTCTGTGTGTGTTTGTGTGTAGTGGGCAAACAACAAATATCGGGTGTTGTTTAAATATACATCACATTATTATACTAGCATCATTTTATAGGAAAATACATTTCATGTGTTTGTTTGTGTGTGTGTGTGTGTGTGTGTGTGTTACAGACCTTGTATTAAAGAAGTTCATGGTGTGTGTGCCTATGCGCGTGTGTGCGTGTGTGGTTGTGTATTTGTGTATATACACACCCACATGCAAATGATTTTTTTCTGGTTTTTTAAAATGTCGTTCATTAACGCTTATCAAAGTGTATCAGAGTTTAGTGCATTATTTTTTTGTTGGTTGATGAGTTGATCCAGTCTAGCCATTCAAGATTTTGTTGTTGTTGTTGTAATTATTACTATTATGATAGTTGTTATTTTTGTTGTTGTTGTGGTTGTTGCTGTTGTTGTTGCGGTTTTACGTAGCAGTTGTTGTTGCTGTTGTTGTTGGTGTGTTGTTGTTGTTTCGTTTATAAAAACAGTAAGGTGGTGATAGGGAATAATGTGATTTGATGGTTGATAACCTCTTTGAAAGGGCTTCCTGAGTTATGGTGTCTCGCTGTTCTTGTCGTTGTGTTGTTGATGTTTTTGTTGATTTTGTTGTTGTTGTTGACGTTGTTGTTGTTGTTGTCGTTGTTGTTGCGGTTGATGTTGTAGTAGGTGTTGTTGTTGATGATGGTGGTGTTGTGGTCGATGTTGTTGTTGATGTTGATGATGGTTTTGTTATTGATGTTGCTGTTTTTGTTGCTGTTGTTTTGTTGTTGTTAGTGGTGTTTTATTGTTGCTGTTGTTAATGATTTTACTTCCCACATTTGATAATTTCCACCTAGTTTTTTCTGAATATTTTTAATAATGGTTCCTAATGTTTTTTTTATGCCACTGAGCTTTATTCATGGTCACAAAACATTTGTTGTT